GTATTCACTCATATTTGGATTCTAGCCATAAATAAAGGACATTGAGCCTATAATTCATGATCCTAGAGAAGCTAAATAAGAAGGTGAACCCAAAGAAAGACATATAGTCATCCTCCTGGAGATTAACTTTATTCGGGCAATGAAAGTAGACAGAGACAGAGACCCAAATTGGAACACCTGACTGAAATCCCAAGGTCTAAATCAAAAGCAGAAGGAGAGAGAGCATGAGCAAGGAACTCAGGACCGTGAGGGGTGCACCCACATACTGAGACATTGGGGATGATCTATCGGGAACTCAACAAGGTCAGCTGGACTGGGTCTGAAAAAGCATAGGATAAAACCGGACTCGCTGAACATAGCAGACAATGAGGACTGCTGAGAAGTCAAGAACAATGGCAATGGGTTTTGATCCTACTGCACATACTGGCTTTGTAGGAGCCTAGGCAATTTGGATGCTTACCTTACTAGACCTGGAAGCAGGTGGGAGGTCCTTGGACTTCCCACAAGGCAGGGAACCCGGACTGCTCTTCGGGCTGATGAGGGAAGGGGACTTGATTGGGGGAGGGGGAGGGACATGGGAGGTGGTAGAGGGGAGGAGGCAGAAATCTTTAATAAATAAATAAATAAAAAGCTAAGAATCAAGTAGCTAATAAAGATATTCAAGTATTAATGAAAAAAATTGACCTGGAGCTAATGAGTCCTTAGATTTGTTATATTTAATAAGACAAATTTGGATTTTGATGCAGCTAAAAACTATCAAAGCTATTCTGGACCTATTTAAATAGGTCATCCCATCTTAGTCATCCTCTACTCCTTTTTAAGGAGATATTGTGGCTATAGGGGCATGTGTATTGTAAGGCATTATCTGCTTTCCTATGATTATCTAGTTATTTGTGAACACTCTCGATGGAAAGTTGGCTCAGGGGTGTACAACATCTAGCTACATACTGTCCCTTAAGCCTTTATAAAGAGATTATGGTAGTCAATGATGGGTAAGATCTTTTTCCCTCCAGTAAATCTAAGACAGGATGTGCATGATGGACTGTATGTACTGATGATACATAAGTCTGGAAGGTGGAAGAGAACAACCTAAGCCAGGCACAGTCATCTGTCATGTAACAGAATCTTAGGCTTTAATAAATAAATTTATAAAGGAGGAATATGTCAGAGCCCATGGATGTGGATCATCTGTTCCACATCTTGACTAGAGATCAGAGAGTACAGGCTTATTCCTGCTCATTCAAGGTTATTACAGGAACTTGGACTAGGGTGAGGTCACTGCATATCCTGCCTAAACAACAGAAGACTTAAATCAGGATATGGTCACTTGGTGTTTTAGGTATAGAAAAGGTAATTGCTCTGTTTGTTCTTTGTATCGTGGTAAAGAAGTCTTTTGCCTCCCCCCTTTTGAATTGGGATATATAAAGCATATGATAAATAAATGCAGGCTGACTCAGTATTCGCTGAAAAAAAAAACAAAAAACAAAAAAAGAAGTAGAGATAATGGGCCAAGGAGTGGTTTAAATAATATAGTTTCTGTGTGATTACTTCTGGCTGAGCCCCAGGAACCAACAAGCGGCCTCCTTCCAACAGGCCACTGCTAATGAGAGGCTAGTGGGAGGAACAAGGAGGTGGGTAAGCATAATTACATGGTTTATACTTTATGACAGGCTGATGTAAGAAGACAGACAAATGAGTACTAGATATGAAACATGCTGAATCATGATAATAAATTAGCCTGTTCTTGATTTTTTGGCAGTATTCAGCCTTCACCCGAATGTAGCTTATCTTGATACTGAGTGGAGCCCATGCTGCTTCTCTGACCTCCCCATCCCCATATCTATGGACCCTTGTATGTGAAAGAGTTATTCTAAGACAGTGGCTCTCAACCTTCCTGACACTGTGACCCTTTAATACAGTTCCTCATGTTATGGTGACCTCCAGCCACAAAATTATTTTTGTTGCTCCTTCATAACTATGATTTTCTACTGTTATGAATCATAATATAAATATCTGATATACAGGATATCTGATATTCAACCCCCAAAAAGCCATGACCTAGGGATTGAGAACCATTGTCCTAAGGGCAATCAAGAAGGCAACTTCATACTGTTTGCTGCATGGCTTTCAGTCTTCCTTCTGACCCTAGGTAGACATCACCAAAGGAGAGTTATTGAATCCATGTTACTTTCATGGATTAATTTTTAAAAAGGAGAATTGAGGTGGTCTTTCAAAATTCTTCTATTCAGTGATTCCCATGTTTTTCAAAAGAATTTTGATATTCTGAAAACACAGCTACATCACACAAAAACTGAGTTTGCTTTTCACAGTTATCTGAGCTTCCCCATGAGGAATCAGAGCAAGGCTCATTGCCAAGTCTTCCTTTGTGCCATTCTTGCCTCAAATGCTCTGATGTCCTTCAATTTACTCTAAGTAGACTTCAGGATAGAAGTTCAAGGCCACTTCCCTTACGACAGGTACTTATTCTAAAATGTCCCTGAGGCTTTCTCAGAATAAACTTCCACACCATTCCAGGTGTGATCAGGCATTGCTGAATTAATGATGGATGTCTTATTGTGGTTGGCAATTTGAAAATCCTCATTAGATTTGGTAATTAAAGAGACAATTTGGTAACTGGAGACACGGTTTATTTACTGTTGCAACCATGACTTGTTGAGTGCTCAGCATCCACCAGGCACTGACTTAGATAATATTGAGTCATGGTAGGCATAGTTGAGACTTTCCCTGCTTTCAAGAACCTTACATTCTCATATTCCAGTTACTCTGAACTTTCTACATGGTCTAACCTTGGACATCCCCAAAAGCAAACATTCAAAAGTCAATGACAATTAGAAACTAACCAGCTGTCTGTAACTGGGTAATTGACTAGCACTGAATCCTTGAAAGTATATTATGATTCTAGGACTGTTTTCCCATGCAGATTTTTGTAGAAACTTTCCTTTCAGTAAAGGAAAAAGACAGTGAAGATTCTTATAGTCTTTGAATAAGATTCCACAAGTGATGCTAAATTGCTCTTAGAATTGAAACAAACTGAATCTAAAATCCTCATTTAATTTGTGTGTGGGGGGAGGGGGAACAAACTATCAAGAAAGAGAGAATAAGCAGAATGGATGTTTCCCATTTGTTGACTTCATCAGCTTCTGTTAAAATCTCCATCTCAATGATAAATAACAAAATCTGACTTTAAACAAACAGTAAGCTAATTAAGACTTGTGAATGGCACTATCAAATATCCAATTGTCAATAGTGACCTCTAAGGAAGGAAAATAATATATTCAGAGATGGTCAAAAGATAAAATCAACTCCAATGTGTTGATATCTTTCCAAAGCTTCAAGAAGTGAGAGAAACTGAGAAATGACTTTAAAAAGAAGAGATATTTCAGAACAGAAACATCAGTATTTATCTATTTCCTCTTAGTTAAAATAACCACAGACTCTGATAGCTTTACTTCTGGCTCCTTTTATCACACCCAAGACTAGAGGCTTTATAAATGAAATAGAACAGCAAGGTGTGCTTGAGCAGCAGGCAATGCTTCAGGATGTGTTGCTTCAGTAATCCTCAGTATCATTCCCAAACTGACCAAGATGCCAAACTAAAGGGGGAGGCCAGTCATGTTAGCACCTCAACTGGGGTCCTACCCGCACTGTAGATCTCTAGCAAAGTGGGAAGGTGGGAAGAGAAAATTAAACATTTGATTATAAGAAACCAAAACTGATCTATGTTGGATTGAATCCCACCCCATCAATGGATTTTCCATTCTAATGAGTCTTTTCTTTTTATTGTTGTTGTTGTTTTCTGGCACCCACAGATGAATCAATAATTCTGAATATTTACTGTCAACCTTCTCAAATGCTGCTGGAGAAAACTAACTACATAAAGCTTAAAATGCTAAACTTGGGTGCTGAGTCTACAAGCAGAGCTATCACTCTTAGTTAAGAAAATAGGGTTGGGGGTGACTCAGTGGGTCGTGCACATGCTACATGAGTGTGAAGACTCATGGTGCAGTGTCACATGTCTGTAATCCTCATGCTCCTGTGTGAGATGGGAAGCGAGAATGGGAGATGTCCAGAGGTTCTCAGGCAGCCAGCCTGGCAAACGTGGCTTTGAATGACAGAAAGACCCTGCCTCAAACAAGACAGAAAGTGACAACCGACAACCAACACCCAAGCTTGTCGCCTGACCTTCACATGTACTTGAGTGTACACACATGCGTGTGTGCGCACATACACAGACACACTTACACTCACTCACTCACACTGAAGCGGGCAAACAATGTGAAAAATGAAGACAAAAATAAATGAGAGGAGAGATGGAGAAAGGAGTAACAAAGAAGGAGAGAAAGCTAAGAGTGAGAGAGGCGGGAAATGATCGAAATACATCACATGTATTACAGAAATGTCATGAAAATCCCCTTACTTTGGACAGTTGATGTATGCTAATAAAAATAAAAGTCATGGGATTTTTCTGTATGTCACAGTTCTTTCACTGAAATTCTTATAATTACCTATTTATCCATAGTAATGCTTATTCTTACTGAGTTCTCTTGACAATAAAAAATGCCTTTGATATTCTGTGTTAATAGGCTAGAGTTGTCTAAAAAAAAACACTCTTTACCTAAAATGTCCACCCCCAGCAAAGAAGCCTGGTGATGCAGGGGGCAGGGAAGGAGTGTAGCCTAATTTTCGAAGTTGTGCACATGTGGCTCCCTGTCTTGAACACCTGATCTTAAACAAGCGCAGAACTGTAAAGCAGAAATGAATACCTTATTCCCGGCATGCCTTAGTACATTTGCAGATATTTTTATTGAACCCCCCTTACTCCATGTTTGCCTTCAAAATAATTCTTAGATGCAAAAGTAGCAAAAGAGAAATACAAAAAAGCCATGTACATTTTATCTGAGAAACCATATTGGTTGATGTGTATGTAAGATATCAGCAGATCAGGAGCAATTGCTAAATTTGGAAGGGTAACAGCTCACCTGGGTCTGTGCTTCCGCTAGCCTGTTCTGGTACCTCTGCACAGACTCTTGCAGTTGCTTCTCTTTCTCGTCTTTTGATGGTGGTCTTCTGTTCATGGTGCCCAGTGGGATAGAAGGCAGGTGCTCTGGCTGATTACAGCTTCACAATCAACAAAAAACAGATTAGCATCAGAAGAAAGGGTAAGGTATAAGCTGACTGTAAAGGATGATTTACTTCGCAAAAGTGTTATATTTTCTCTTATACACACAAAATTCAAATATAAAGCAGGGTTATATGACTTTGGGGGAACAATCTGTCATCTTAAATTTCCAGTTGGCATGGGAAAGAGCTACGGAAAAAGGGGGGGGGGCACATGTGTTTATGAGGAAGGGAAAATACAAATTATTTTGCTGATGGCCCACTTATCCTAAATTATATAAAACAAATATTTTTTATAAAAAAAATGTTTCAATTATCTCAATACTAATAAACATTTCTTCACCATGGGCCCCAAATTAGGTTTCAAAATCCTGTGTCTGTCCAAAAGATAACAATTCTGTGTCTGAGACACATGGATCTTGTTTGGAATCACTCAGAGACAGTGACCATCATGCCATGTAGTGTTCAGGGACAGCTCTGGGGTCATAGAGGCTTGCACAGAGGTCACTAGATAGCCAGAGCAACCCGTACTCACACATCTTTCCCAAATGACCTGTTCTCAACGGCCTAGTACTTGGCAATCATCCTGGCTCCGAGTTTTGTGTATTTTACAGCCATGAACAATTCTCATCATAGTTACAAAAAATAACTAAGCCTTTATTTTGGAAAGCTTGGGGCCATTTTGCTTTAATTTTTTAAAATGCTATAACTGTTCTAGAGAGCTGAATCCATCAATTTTTTTAAAAAAGTGAAATTGTCTAGTTTGTCTTGGTATCAGCACTAGATGCAGAGAGGAAGGAGCTGAACTCTTTGAGTGCAATTCTGATTTGAGGCATGGCTCTGTGCAATAGCAGTATGGAATGCAGATGTCAACTTTTTGGGTCTCTTCTAGGTTATGAAGTTTTCTGCTATTCAGACAAAGAAGCAGGGGAGAGTTGCATCCCATCAGTAAAAGAGGAGGGGACAAACTTGCAGAAAATTTTTGTGTACTGGGCTTGGAAAGGGAGGAGGCTAGCAATGGGGAGTGCCTCCTATCACTGGAAACAGGGAAGAAAATATAAGACAGATGGAAACTGCCAGCTCTGTTTTTTAAGACTGCGAGTTATGTATTTTTCTTGCCCCCTACTAACAGAGAGAAAGTGAAGAACTACCATCAAATTCAAGCAAGCTGTGAAAAAGCACTTAATCCTACCTTCATGTGGTATTGGCTATTATTGTTATTTTCAAAGAAAGGTACTGCATAAACAAATCCAAAGGATGGCTACTGTATCTATAGCGACTGCCAACATGAACTCGAAGACATCTGTGGGGCAGTACCAGCACAGTGCTCTGTTTCTTGTGAGAAAAGAACCTTAAAGCCATGTGAAGTTTTCATTCGGAACAAAGAAAATTAAATCTTTTATTGCAATGAAGTGCATCCAACTGTCATCCTTCAAAGATTTTTGGTCATAAATTTTAAAATGCAGTACAACCTCTATGTATTCTGCATCCTTTCCACAATTCGGGGGTTTCGGGTTCAGTCAAATAGCAGGCATCAGTTTTGTCCTGCTGGGGTTTGGTGATCCCTGAATTCAATACGGATGAATGCATATCATGAATAAAATGGGAGTGTGCTGGTAGCTATTTCTCAGCGACTGTGACAAAAATGTCATTTCCCTCTGTGATCAAACTGGAAAACAAACAAGACTTCAGTAGCCTCAACAAGACTATCTCCGCCCATCTTCCCTTACCAAAAAAAAAAAAAAAAAAAAAGACTATCTCCGTTTTACCTTGTCACGGCTGCTGGCCTTGAATGCTACCATGTGTATGATGGTTTGAATTATTAAATGTATGTAGATAAACTGGGTTCCCTGGAATGTATAGGATGTTTTGTGTCTGACTCTTGGTTTTAGGTTCACCTTGAAGTGGGAATCCCTAGCATGTCACTCAAGAATGCTGAGTATCTGAGATTTCTCCTCTTAGAAATGGGATGAGTTCCCGGGGCCTTTGTAAAAATAAAATGGCGTAATGTATAAATCCTATAGAAGAGAAAGCATGATGTTTCTGTGTCAAGTTCAATTTTTTACACAGACCATTGTTCATGCAAATGCCACCCACTGGCATTGACTTTGAGGGCAACAAGGAAGCAGCTTTGGACTTCCAGCTGTGTTCTCTTGACATACAGACAATGGCATGTCTCATCTCAAGACTCAGCTCGTGCACTCACAGAGTGCATACACAACCATTTCACTTTATTTAGATGAATTTATTTTATATGCTTCTATCTAAACTTAACAGGGCATATATCTCTGGGCATATGTCAAGCCCCATTCTTCAGGAAGGCAGGCCCACTCACCAAAGCTGGATCAGAGGACTCAGTGAGATCACGTGACAGAGACCTAGTCTCCACTAGGAGTCATCCTATCTACACCACTGATCTTCAGTTCCCCATGCAGGAAGGGCCCACTCTCAATTAGATGCTTTTACAGCTTGCTAAGCCTCCTGCTGCTGTTTTATGCATATTTTATTATAATCTTTTCAGTGGAAATGAAATACAGATGGTCAATATTGTGTCAGCGTGTTTAAAGGTTCAGAGGCTTCAGGAAACTATAAATAGAAGCACTTTCTGGAGTTTAGATTTTCAAGGTCCATCAGTTTTCTGTCAAAACAACTAAATTTGTTTTACCACCCCTTGCAAGTGGTATTATCTGGATGAGTGAAAGGGACAAAGTTAATGTAGTCCTCAAGACGATTCTGCAATGCTCTGAGAGGCATCACTAGTTGCTAAGGGAAGAGGGCATGAGCATGACAGTTTAGGGTTGCCGGGAAACTGGAAGTAAAGAAAGCTGTGATGAACAGCTTCCCAAGCCTCTGGGTTTTGTTTTCAGAGCTGGATAAAAATGCTTCAACAAGAATTATGACCCTAGTGTCACTATTAGCAATAGCGGTCCTCTTACCCATCGGCCCTAAAGAGTTAGAGACCTTTGTATAGAAGCAATGCTGGGGTGAGGATGCCCCTGTTAAAAAGGAAGATTAACTGTTTTTCCCTAGGGAAAGACTATTAGTCTAAACGGGCTTGTAAGAACATTGACAGCCATCAATATTTAATCAGCCCTTTTTCCCATTTAGTCTGAAATTCTTCCTCCGGCAGAGAAAGTGATGAAATCGATATATGACTTAAATAGTGAAAAAGAACACGTGGCCTAAGAGTGTAGTGCCCCTGGATGTACCCTCTCAAGAACACTCTGGTAAGATCAGGTTGTGTGCCCTGTGAATGACTGGGAAGACAGAGTCAGGAGGCCAAGGCTTCCTGCCAGGGAAGGGTGGAGCTGCATACACCCCAGGACCTGAGTTTTCTTACAGCAGATCTCCTTTAAAAGACAGAAAAATACACTAAGAAAACAATATTCTCATAGGTAGCAAGGAGCTAAAGAAGGGTTTAAAGAGAAACTGGCTTCTAAGCTAAAATCTTGCTACAGCTAACATGTGCAAGGCTTGTAAGGTACACCTTGGAAATTCTACACTGATAAGGTATTATTCAAAAACTCATCCACAGTACCTGTTTTCCAGGTTGTTGGGATTATTAGCACAAATCCACATGTCAGGGAATTCTTTCTCGTAATTAGAATGGGAAGGCAGGACTCTCCATTTGAGACAAAGATCTGACCATCAGGAGAAAAACATGAAATAAGTGAATGCATCATTAAAAAACAACAGCAACAAAAACAAGTTGGTTCTGAGATGCCCAAAGTAGTAACGCGTTCACCACACATCCCATGCCTGCTGGCATGGCTATTCCAGGCTTCTGTGAGCTATGTGAGAAGCTTGTCAAGAAATGTGCAGACACCATCACTGCTGCAGCTCCCTCCAAGTTAGATGCTATTCCTTTGAAGCAAAGGAAACTTGCTAAATCTCATTTTCCTTTCCTCTAAGAAGAATTCCAATGACCTGACTCTTATATTTCCAGCCTAATCCATTCTGCTCCACTTTCCATGATCAACCGTGCTAAGAAGGAAATGAAGATCTGTAAGTCATTCACACCTTGCCTTCTTCCGTCCATAGGGTCCCCTTATTCCACAATCCACTCTGATTTCTTTGTGTGTTTTCCCTTACAATTCTTCCTTTCTTTAAGATCCAAGGCACACTGCTGTCTTTAGGCTAAAGCCAAGTTTAATCCTGCATTTCCTCTTGACACAGAGGTAAACAATTTGTGCACTTCTGAAGTAGAAGCAGTTTGCAGAGCTGAGGAGCACCTGAACCACTTCCTACAGCCCATGGATCTTGGGAGAATGACTTAATTTCTGTGTCAGTACAAACATCTGTAAAATATAAGATTTCTACCAGCATTTATATAAAGAGGAACTAAGGATAAAATGGCTTCCCAGTATTAATGATGATGAAAATAAACACAGAGAAATACTTTCTTGATCACTTAGCAAACTTGACACTTATTATATTCACAACTTTATGATGTAACTATAAGCACCAGTCTCATTTTCTCAAGAAGAGATTAATTCTCAGAGTGATACAGTGACTGCCCCCATCCCATAGACCCCTTCACCACTGGAGACTATATTTTAAGTACTTGGCGGGTATCAAAGATATATTCATTATTGGCCATTAAAATTGTCAGCTGGCAGGCTGTCATCAGTTACCTCAGTCATACTTTCTAAATATGTTCTATATGTTCCTTATATTGAACTGCACTGCCACGTATTAGTTCAGGCGTTTACATCTGTCCCTTAGGTCTTCTATTACAAGGAACTCTACCATCATTGGTTTGACCTCCCCTCTGTTCTGGTCCTGCACCACGTCATCCTTCATGGAGTTGCCTTCCTTCAAGTCACTCATCAATTCCCCTGAACCACTCCCAGAAGAAGACATGGGAGGTACTCTGCTGGCACCCATCTGTCTCCCCTGCTGAACTGCTGGGGAAGAAAGCACATTGTCTTCCATCCCAAGCCTTCCATACAGTGGCTTGAAATCATACCCAGTGCTCCGCGACTCTGTGCTGCTATCCTTCTACCGGGAATTTCCCAATACCCCACTGCTTATCAAAGTGAAAACTAGGCCTAGAATTCCAGACCTCATAAAGGCATTTATCCAAGAAACTGCTTCTGGCTTTCATCATTTGGTCATCCTCCACTTATTCTGTTATTAGATTACAGAATCCCTGTTAGTCTTAGACGAGTATTACATACAGTAGGAAAGTGGCTGCTTCTAGTCCTCCATCACAAATATTTCAAATAAGGTGCATCTCTGAGATTGACCCTCTTTCCCTGGGCCTTACCTCCACTCAACTTTGTCATAACGACTATCCCATATCTCTGTCGTGAAATCTCTCCTCCATTTCTGCACCCCATTTTTTTTCACTGCAGGTTCAAAGAACTCTGCATCCAACCCTTCCCTAGCCTGACTCGTCCTCTACGGTACTTACTTTAAACTCTTGCCTTGACAGAAACCTCCTTAGAAAGAAACACCATGTTTTATCCTCTTGTCTTTTCATCACCATGACTTGAACATTTAGGAAATCACGACTATCCGGCAGCGTGGCATTCAGCACTCACCACACTGTAGGATGAATGGGATAGCCATGGCTTGTCTTCTTCGGCACAAGAGAGACTCTACAGACCTGTCCATGTCTTTGCTGTGTTGGTATTTGAACTCATCCCAAAACACTGTTAAATTTCTATTACCTGAAGGAAAGAAAACAGACAACATATAATACAAATGTTGCAAGTCAACACAGTCAAGGTGATTAACTCAGGGAGCTTAGATGTAAGCACATATACAATATGGTTTCAGCTGTGTAGGAACCAATGAATAAATAAGAGATTGATGTGTTGGTTATCGCCAAGTCGGGTCTTTAGAGATTAAAATATGTTTGCTGATTTATCTGCTCTTGCATTTTCAAATCATGGGCAGTAAACGGGCACCATTTTTAACAATGAAAATAAAGACAATAGCAGTTATAAAAAGTTACATCTTTATTGTTGCAATAAAATACAGTGACATTTAAAGTATTATTCTTAAATATTCCCAGGAAGAGCTGTGCTAATTATACTGTAAAGGGCACTTTTAAAATGACTGCCAGAAGTATTTATTACTCCTATCACACAGCTAGAGTTGTCTTGAATCCTTATATCATCTCTGGTTCTGGTTTCTTCCTGGACTGCTTTATGTTCCTCCCTAACCCTGAGTTCTATTCCCTCCTTGTTTGGAAAGAGTTTTCATCTCAGGAGACCACTTTTGTGTTCTTATCCTTTGATCTAGGGATTGTACAGCTGTGAAAACATTACAGCATTATTAGAAGAGCAAAAATTTGGAAATCATATAAACGCCTATGGAGAACTGCTAAACTCCATTCTCAAACTGTGGTAGAACCCTAAGCACCTTGAAGAAGAGGGAGAAAGAGCTAAACGTAGGGTCTTACCAGGTTGTAAAAGCACAACTTAAAAAAAAGGGATACAAGGCAACACCAGATAATGTTTTAATGTTTTTATAAGTTATAAAATTTGTAAACATATATCAGGTTGGACATACTTTTCTCAAAGTATGGAGAAGAAAGTTTTGTTTTTATTTTTTCCTCTGAGATTGTTTTTTTTTTATTTTTTTAATTAGATTTAAAAAAAAATACCAATCCAAGTTCACACTCCCTCTAATCTCCCCATTCCCACCATACATCCTCCCACCCCATCCCCATCCAATCCTCAGAGAAGGTAAGGCACATCGCTTTGTGGAAGGCCATAGTCCCTCCCTACTATATCTAGGCTGAGCAAGGTATACATCCTAAGAGAATAGGATCCTCAAAAGCCAGTACATGCAGTATGGATAAATCAGTCTGCCCTAGCCATGCAACTGTCAACCACATTCAGAGGAACAATACCACTCTTGGGCATATACCCAAAAGATTTTCAATCATACTACAAAAGCATTTGTTTAGCTATGTCCATAGCAGCATTATTTGTAAAAGCCAGAACCTGGAAACAACCTAGATGCCCCTCAACTGAAGAATGGATAAAAAAAATATGGCACATTTACATATTAGAGTACTACTCAGTGGGAAAAAAAAAACAAAAAACAATGACATATTGAATTCTGCATGCAAATGGATGGAATTAGAAAACACTATCCTGGGTGAGGTAACCCAGACCCAAAGAGATATGAACATAGTATGTACTCACTTATAAGTGGATACTAGCCATAAACAAAGAACATTGAGCCTATAGTTCGTGATCCTAGAGAAGCTAGGTAATAAGGTATACCCAAAGAAAAACATATATAGATCCACCTGGAAATTGGAAATAAACAAGATTGTCTGACAAAATTGGGAGTATGAGGGTGGGGGAGAAAGGAGGGCAGAAATGGAAGAGAAAGGGAGAAGGGGAGAGTTGAGGAGAACCTGAGAGAATGGGATAGTTGAGATGGAGGAAAGACAGAGATGGGAGCAAGGAAAGAAATATCTTGGTTGAGGGAGACATTATAGGGTTAGCAGAAGCCTGGCTCTAGAGAAATTCCCAGGAATACACAAGGATGAGCCTGGCTAGGACCCTAAGAATTAGAGGAGAGGGAGCCCAATCTTGACTTGCCCTGTGGTCAGATTGATGACTATCTTAACTATGACCAAACAACCTTCATCCAGCAACTGATGGAAATAGAGGTAGAGACCCTCATCAGAGCACTGAACTAAGCTCCCAGAGTCCATTTGAAGAGTGGGAGGAATGAGAATACGAGCAAAGAGGGCAAGACCTTGATGGGTTCACCAATGAAACAGTTTATCTGAGCTAATAGGGTCTCACCAACTGCATCCAGACTGGGAAGGAAAGTTTTGCTTTTAAAAAATTAAAGGTTTATTTTTTATGAGTATGGGTTTTTGTTTGCACATACATTTGTGTACCATGTGTACCTGGTAGAGGTACCTATAAAGGCAAAAGATGTCAAGCCACCTGTAACTATAGAATTACAGGTGGTGGATCTCTGCACCAGGAGAGCCATCATTGGGGTGAATTTCTGACCCACGGCAGCAGCCCGGGACACGGAACTCAGAAGTTCCACATCCCCCTCTATACTTCCTGGGCTTCCTATAGGGCCTATACTCCCTGCATACTGCCTTTCTCTTCCTTATCCCACCCAGCTTGCATCCAGAACCCTCCCCCCTTCTGCCTCCCTTCCCACTTCGGGCACATAACATCACCCAGTTCAGCCTGTCTGGGCGCTGGAGCCAAATCATGAGGGCAAAAAGGCGGGCTGGAGCTCCTTTGTTTCAACAGCCTGCCTGCAGCAAGCAAGGTAGGCACTTTGTTTACGAGCTATCCAACCAGCACAGGGATCTGATCTCGGCACCAAGAGAGACATCACTGGAGCACCAGGAGAGCCATCACTTGGGGGTGCCATCACTGGGAAGGCACATCAGTAGGCAAGGAGACCTGATCCTGTAAAAGAAGATCCATAGGGGAGCATTCGGAGGAAGAGATGGGCAGGTGCCAATGCAAGAATTCACCCAACAATCTGAAAAGCAACATGAAACCACCAGAACCCAGAGACCTCACAACAGGAGGACATGAATACCTTAATCAAGAAGAAGTAGAAAAAATTGGCTTTATGAAAGTGATTGACGCCCTTAAACAGCATGTAAAAAATGCCCTTATAGAAATGGATGAGAAGTATAACAGAAAGTTTGAAGAATTGAAGAAATCAGTGAATGATACCCTGGGAAACCAAGGAAAAACAATCAAACAGAAAATGGAAACAGTTCAAGACTTGAAAACTGAAATGGAGGCAAAGAAGAAAACACAAACAGAGGGCCGGCTGGACATGGAAAATCTAGCTAAACGATAGAGACTATAGAAACAAGCATAACCAACAGGATATAAGAGATAGAAGAAAGAATCTAAGATTCTGAAGATACCATAGAGAAAATGAATGCCCTGATCAAAGAAAACAGCAAGTCCAACAAACTCTCATCACAAAACTTTCAGGAAATATGGGACACAATAAAAAGACCAAACCTAAGAATAATAGGAGTAGAAGAAGGAGAAGAAGTGCAGTTCAATGGTCCAGAAAATATATTTAATAAAATTATAGAAGAAAACTTTACCAACCTAAAGAAATATATACCTATGAAGGTTCAAGAAGCATATAGAACACCGAATAGGCTGGATCAAAAAAGAACATCCCCTCGCCATATAATTATCAAAACACAAAGCATACAGAATAAGGAAAGAATATTAAGAGCTGCAAAGGAAAAAGGCCAAGTTACGTATAAAGGTAAACCTATCAGACTTACACCTGACTTCTCTATGGAAACCATGAAAGAAAGAAGGTCCTGGACAGATGTACTTCAGAAACTAAGAGACCATGGATGCAAGCCCAGACTACTATACCCAGCCAAGCTTTCATTCACTATAAATGGAGAAAACAAAATTTTCCAGGATAAAAACAAATTTAACCAATACGTAGTCACAAATCCAGCCTTACAGGAAGTAATAGAAGGAAAATCACTAACCAAGGAGTCCAACAATGACCACAATAACTCAGACATCTAGAGACCCTTCACCAGCACAACTCAAAGAAGGGAAAACACACAAACTCTACTGTTAAAAAAGTGACCGGAGTTAACAACCACTGGTCATTAATATCACTTAATGTCAATGGACTCAACTTACCTATAAAAAGGCACAGGCTAAGAGATTGGATACGAAAACAGGATCCAACATTCTCCTGTTTACAAGAAAAACACCTCAACCACAAAGTCAGGCACCTACTCAGAGTAAAGGGTTGGGAAAAGGCTTATCAAGCAAATGGACCTAAGAAACAAGCAGGTGTGGCCATACGAATTTCTAACAAAGTTGACTTCAAATTTAAATCAATCAGAAGAGATGGAGAGGGACATTTTATGCTCATAACAGGAACAATTCATCAGGATGAAGTCTCAATCCTGAATATCTATGCTCCTAATATAAAAGCACCCACTTATGTAAAAGAAACATTACTAAAACTCAAGGCAGCCAATCAAACGGCACACACTAATAGTAGGAGACTTCAATACTCCTCTCTCAATAATGGACAGGTCAATTAGACAGAAACCTAACAGAGAAATTAGAGAATTAATGGAGGTAATGAATCAATTGGAGTTAACAGACATCTATAGAATATTCCACTGAAATAGGAAAGAATATACCTTCTTCTCTGCAGCTCATGGAACCTTCTCGAAAATTGACCACATACTCGGTAACAAAGCAAACTTCCACAGTTACAAAAAAAAAAATAGTAACCACCTGTGTCTTATCTGATCACCATGGATTAAAGTTAGAATTCAACAAATCCAGAAAGCCGACAAACTCATGGAAACTGAACAGTCAACTACTGAACCATACCTGGATTAAGGAAGAAATAAAGAAAGAAATTAAAGTCTTCCTTGAATTCAATGAAAATAAAGAAACAACATACTCAAACTTATGGGATACTATGAAAGCAATGATAAGAGGAAAGTTCATAGCACTAAGTGCCCACTTAAAGAAAACAGAGAAAGCACACATTGGAGACTTAACTGCCCACCTGAAAGCTCTAGAAAAAAAAAGAAGCAGACTCACCTAGGAGGAGTAGAAGACTGGAAATAATCAAACTGAGGGCTGAAATCAACAAAATAGAAACAGAAAACAATCCAAAGAATCAATGAAACAAAAAGCTGGTTCCT